GAAGAACGAGATAATCAACTTATGTTGCCAAAAGTTTACGCAGAACGTTTTAAACAATCATTTTTAAATAAGTGTCTTTTTAATGACTTTTAGAATTTTTTGGTAGGGTATATATTATAACAATAACGTTAACATATTTCTAAATAATCTAATTATTTTATCTTATATGCACTGATTGTTTTAAACAACTTTTAACGACTTTTAAAACTTGGTTTTACGGTATATATTAACTGTAACGTTAACACATTTGTATATAATGTAATTATATCTTATATGTACTGTAAAGTTGCACGTTTGTTGCAACTCCAATATTTATGATAGATTTTAATAAAGACTTACGAATGAATGAATGTCCCATGTGGTCTAGTGGTTAGGATCTGGCGTTTTCACCGCCATGGCCCGGGTTCAATTCCCAGCATGGGAAAATTCAAATTCTCTTCAGGGAATGTCTTTTATTCCGTGTTTCCATACGAAGAATTGTGCGCTTGTGCTGTTGACCTTTTGCTATGTCATCATTTCAATTTGCGGTGCCGGAAACAACGTAGCCAAAGAAGATCACAATGAGTAATTACTGACGACGTGTGCACCAGTTCTCAAAATAAATTGTCGGTGTTTAAATCCACAGCGAAATAGTAAAAATTGCGAAGAAATGACTGTGCAGTATATGGCGTTGGTGGTTCAGTGGAAGAATTCTCGCCTGCCACGCGGTAGACCGGGGTTCGATTCCGCGCCAACGCAGAGTATTTTACCTCTGTAAAGTTGCACGTTTGTTGCAAATCCAATATTTATGATAGATTTCAATAAAGACGTACGAATGAATGAATGTCCCATGTGGTCTAGTGGTTAGGATCTGGCGTTTTCACCGCCATGGCCCGGGTTCGATTCCCGGCATGGGAATGCTTTTTGGGGTATTCGATGACTTTTGTTTCGACGACTGCATCGTGGATATTCAACTGCAATATTTTTTTAACGATGGCCTTGTGGCGCAACTGGTAGCGCGTCTGACTCCAGATCAGAAGGTTAAGTGTTCAAGTCACTTCAAGGTCATGACGAACCTTAAGAATTTTCTTGAAAATGTTCGATATCAGAATAGAGAATCCTTTTACATTTAGAGGTGGTTGCAATGTTGGTCGATCGAATTCCCATGTGGTCTAGTGGTTAGGATCTGGCGCTCTCACCGCCATGGCCCGGGTTTAATTCCCGGCATGGGAAAATGCAAATTCTCTACAGACAATGCCTTTTATTCCGTGCTTACATTCTAAGAATTGTGCGCCCGTGCTGTTGACGTTTTGCTACGTCCATCATTTCAATTTGCAGTTAGTTATATTAATTCATTAGATAGGATCAATGTTAAAGGCAAGGTGGGCTACAAGCAATAATCATTTGTATGGTTTATAGAAGGCTAATTGCTGTGAATATATTGAATAATGAATGTTGCACAATATTAAATAGTTGCATTATGACGTCAAAGAGACAAGTCAGACTACATTTGCAAGCCGGTTTTGCAACTCTCATCGCTTAAATTCCCCATACCTGAATACAAAATAAACAGTAAACAACAATTACGTTTTATATACCCTACATAAAATGGAGTTTTCATCCTTTCGAGAAACTCACTTCCTGCACTTTTGAGTGCAAATGTAATGTACTAATGTATTAAAAAATTTACATTGTATATCATATTTACAGCGGTTAATACCATTAATATATTGCGGGCACAATACAAAACATCAGATTTTTAAAATGTTAAATTTTGATTTGCAAATAAATAAATAATATTTGATGTCATAAAAATTTTTAAATTTAACTCAACACAAACTGGTAAGTTCATGACATGTATAATTTACTTATATGTTTTATATTGCAATTCTGTACCCTACTCCTTTGAAAATTGTTTGCAATTGCATATGATGTTGTCATGTATTATAGTTGTGTCATGAATTTAATAATACCTCAATGGCTTCGAAATAGACAATAGATGAAAAAAGTCATGAATATTTAGCTTATTTACCCTTTAAACACTTGATCGTCAGTCATGTGCATACAGTGTATTGTTTGTTACCAGAACCCCCTCAAGCAGACTTCAACTTTTCTTGTCAAATTGTATATTTTGCTTCATACACTGCACACGTGTGTATTCGTGGGAACACTCATGTTTGGATGCTTGGGATAAGTTAATGGTAATTTCACTGGAGTGATCAGGGATATAGTTGTATATTCCTGAAATTACCTCTAAACACCTAAAACAGCATTCCCTAAAATTTTAATTGTTTTCTTTCACATCGCTCAAACACACATTGCTTAAAAATTGCAGATTTTGCTTAAATCACATACCTAAAATTGCTTATCTCGTTATCGCCCCAGAGTAGTAGGGCCTACTGTTGCCAGTGCTTTTTAGTCTCCAATACTTCAGTGAGTCATGCTTTGGAAATGACAATAATTTTTTCTTACCCAACCGTTGAGTTGTTTTGTTTTTCATTTACCCAACCTTTTACTTACTCAAAATTTAGTTTACCCAACCCTTTTCTCTTCGGTGCCACTCCCCACCATAAATAATGACCGGTCCCATAGAGAAGCCTTTTACATTTAGTGGTGGTTGCAATGTTGGTCGATCGAATTCCCATGTGGTCAAGTGGTTAGGATCTGGAGCTCTCACCGACATGGCCCGGGTTCAATTCCCGGCATGGGAAAATTTTATTCCGTGCTTACATTCTAAGAATTGTGCCCTCGTGCTGTTGACGTTTTGCTACGTCCATCATTTTAATTTGCACTGCCGCAAACAACGTAGCTAAAGAAGATCACAATAGGGCCATTTATACGTGACAAAATAAGTCCCGAGTTACATAAGACGCGACTTAAATAAGTGGAGTTATCGCATAAATGGTTCTCTACGGCTTTGGTCTTATTTATTTGCTATAGCTATAATGTTTTTTTGGTTGTTTTTGTTTTAATATGCAAGGCATTAAATTTTACGTTGTTTCAAGTTTCTGGCATGTGTAGTTAGACTTTTTGTCCAAAATTTCTTATTTAAGACGCGACTTAAATAAGAACAGCTAAAAGACCTGTTCTTACGTAAGACGCGTCTTATAGAGACGCGTCTTACATAAGAATTTTGTACCTTTTATACGACAAACTCGCGTCTTACCTAAGTCGCGTCTTATGTAAGTCGCGTCTTATTTTGTTCCGTATAAATGGCCCTAATGAGTAATTACTGACGACGAGTGTACCAGTTCTAAAAATAACTTGGTGGTGTTTAAATCCACAGCGAAATAGTAAAAATTGCGAAGAAATAACTGTGCAGTATATCGCGTTGGTGGTTCATTGGTAGAATTCTCGCCTGCCACGCGGGAAACCGGGGTTCAATTCCCCGCCAACGCAGAGTGTTTGTTTTACCTCTCACATGATATTTTCATGAATTTAATGAAAAATTGCTATCATCATCCACATGAACAGAAATTGGAATCCCTACAACACATGTCTAAAGAAGAACGCGATCATCAATTTATGTTGCCAAAAGTTTACATAGAACGTTCTAAACAATCATTTTTAATGAAGTTTCTTTTTAAGGATTTTAGAATTTTTTTATAGGGTAGCTATATATTAACAGTAACGTTAACACATTTCTAAATAATCTAATTATTATATCTTATATGCACTGATCGTTTTAAACAACTTTTAATGACTTTTAAAATTTGGTTTTACGGTATATATTAACTGTAACGTTAACACATTTGTAAATAATGTAATTTTACCTTATATGTACTGTAAAGTTGCACGTTTGTTGCAACTCCAATATTTATGATAGATTTTAATAAAGACGTACGAATGAACGAATGTCCTATGTGGTCTAGTGGTTAGGATCTGGCGTTTTTACCGCCATGGCCCGGGTTCGATTCCCGGCATGGGAACTATTATGAAATTATGAAAGTAATGATTCTTCCACATGTTGCCGTTGTTGGTATATATCGAGTTGTAAGTGTTGATGTTTATGTACTTCTCAATTTAACATTTTCATTGGTGACTTAGTTAATATAAGTTAGTTGAATGAAACCAATAGAAGGCTATATAATTTCCTAAGGTTACATAATTTCTTTATCAATGATTATAACTATAGACAATTGGTGTCTGCTTTCATTACAGACTTTGATAGATCATTTTTATACAAATTTAGCAGAGTCAGAAGCTAAGTCACACATATTGGAAACATTTCTCTTAAAGCACTTTTTAGCAGTATGTGCATTGAATAATTGCTTTCATTAAAGCAAGGCAAAGTAATAGTGGCTGCATAAAGAGCAGAGATTCAGTTTAGATTGGAATATCAATACTTATAGTAACAGTTGCAACCAGTCATAATTATTAACTATATATCCTGGACGGGGTGCTCCCTTCTTAATCGACCCTGATTTCTGCAACCGAATGTCATTGCCAAGAACACCAGTTAAGCAATTTATATCCCCCTTCAACTATCCCATACTATATTGTCTTATAATCAACAACAACCATATGTCATAATGGGATCTTATTTAAAATAGCACACAATGTACAAAACTAACATAATATTCTGTTTAGTGGATTTTCTTCCACGACAAAATAATATTGCATGGATCTGTTATGCTGAATTATATCATTCTATTCAAGAACTATATGCACAATTATACTTCTAATTTCCATACTTGTCATCATTTGTTGCTGATGAATGACTTTCAATATATGACCTATTTTATATATTTACTAGGCATAAACAGTTGATTTGTGTGCCGTCAACCCTGACTATGACATTTTCTAAAAGGAAATAGATTATATTTAAAAACAATTATAAACAGCAGAAATGTTGATGTTATGTATCAATTATGGTATAAGAAGGCTTCCAAAACTCTGCAAAATGTAAAGTTAAAACTAAGACATAAACTTCTCCAGCAATTCCTGGATAGTTATTAAGTACTTGTTTTTCAGTAGTTGATCAATAAGCGTTGTCGATGCTACTGTTGATGTGTTATCATCGCTGTTGTTGCTGTTGTTGTTGTTGTTGTTGTTGTTGTTGTTGTTGTTGTTGTTGTTGTTGTTGTTGTTGTTGTTGTTGTTGTTGTTGTTGTTGTTGTTGCTGTTGTTGCTGTTGTTGCTGTTGTTGCTGTTGTTGCTGTTGTTGCTGTTGTTGCTGTTGTTGCTGTTGTTGCTGTTGTTGTTGTTGTTGTTGTTGTTGTTGTTGTTGTTGTTGTTGTTGTTGTTGTTGTTGTTGTTGTTGTTGATGTTGATGTCTCTGTCACAGTTTTTGTGAAATTTTCCTTGTTTGCTAGTAATCTGTTTCAATAAAATTAATTAGGACTAATGTAGTAATAATACAGTAAGTTTATGTGTTTGTAATTTTTGTCACTGAAAATCCCCTTCAGGGGAGTGTCAATAATGTCAATGAATCAATTAATCAACAATGAACAACAATGTATATTGGCACCACCTGTTATCCAGACAACTTCTATGCATCTACCATGTTCTCGCATGCCTACTAAAGTTTTATATGAACTAGCAAGAAGATTTGGAACCAGAAATGTTCTAACAAGAACACAGAGATGGTTTTACTGGGGGATGCGGGCGGGGGGAGGGGGGTGGTGCACCCCCTAGCCCTGGCCAGAGGGGGTGCAGGAGGGGGGGGTCCTATTTTTCATGATAAACATAAAATTATTAGAAACAAAATGAGATACAGAAATTTCAGTAATAATATTATGATAGGCAAACTGTGAACAACAATTACAATTGCAATTCAAGTACTGTAGTGAAGCAAGACTTTGCAATAGTGAAGCAAGTTGATGGGTGGGTGGCACACATGACCGACACAACTCGGCACCAGAGCGGGCAGAGTACCCCCCCTATCAGATCATGCTGGATCCGTCCCTGCAAGAAAATTATAAAATTAAGATGATTCAACAAGAACATCATAAAATTGAATATCATCTTTGTGACGTTATCGCATGATGGTTTCATGAATTTATTGAAAAATTGCTATCATGATCCACATGGACAGAAATTGCAATCCCTCCAACACATGTCTAAAGAAGAACGCGATGATCAATTGAAAGTTGCCTTATTAGACTTTAGGAAAGCTTTTGACTTGGTGGACCATACCCTTCTTATATCAAAACTTATTAACTACGGAATTAAACCATCAGTCACTAATTGGATTACAGACTTCTTATATAAGCGTACCCAAAGAATTAAGTTGAATTATAAGTGCCATTCCAATATACTGCAAGTCCAGGCAGGGGTACCTCAAGGGACCAAATTAGCACCATGGTTGTTCCTCATTATGATAAACGATTTGAACGTTTCAGAGAATTCAACAAACAAGATGTGGAAATTCGCTGATGATTCCACAATTTCGGAGGTCATCCCTAGAACTGAAAATAGCAATTTACAAGATAGAGTTGATCAAGTGGCTAATTGGTCAAATAATAACAAATTTCAATTAAATTCTGGAAAATGCAAAGAACTTAGAATAAATTTTACTAAAGGCCCTTGCAGAGACGAACCAGTCAAAGTAAATGATAAACATTTCGAAGTGGTAACATCCGCAAAAATCTTAGGAATGACTATTACCGATGATTTAAAATGGAATGTCCATGTGGCAAATATTTTATTAAAAACTTCCAAACGACTTTATCTCCTGAAACAGTTAAAACGTGCGAATGTCGATACTAGTTCTTTGATCAAATTCTACTGCGCCTGTATCAGATCTGTCCTTGAATACGCTTGTCAGGCCTTTCACTCAGGCCTTCCTAATTATCTTTCAAAAGAAATTGAACAAATTCAGAAAAGAGCCCTAAGAATTATTTACCCTTACGTGGATTATAGTGAAGCGTTGGAAATGGGAAACCTAGAAAGACTAAACGACCGTAGAGAGAAACTATGTGAAAAACTGTTTCGTGAAATTGAAGAAAATGAAGATCACAAACTTCACGGACTTTTACCAGAAATGAATAAGGCTGGTTATAACTTCAGAACAATTAAGAAATATAATCTCCCAACGATTAGGACAAATAGATTTAAGGACTCTTTTATCCTTGAGTACGCATCACGAAAGGAAATAAAAACGAACTTATTTTAAATATTTGAATGTATATATATATATATAACAATTTGTTTTTAAACATTAGTACTATGTATTTATAAATTTTATAACAACCAATTGTAATTCAGTCATCTGACTGCAATAATTGATTTAATAAACGATTCATCTATCAATTGATGTTGCCAAAAGTTTACACAGAACGTTTTAAATAATCATTTTTAAATAAGTGTCTTTTTAATGACTTTTAGAATTTTTTTATACGGTATATGTTATAGCAATAACGTTAACATATTTCTAAATAATCTAATTATTTTATCTTATATGCACTGATCGTTTTAAACAACTTTTAATGACTTTTAATACTTGCTTTTACGGTATATATTAACTGTAACGTTAACACATTTGTAAATAATGTAATTATATCTTATATGTACTGTAAAGTTGCACGTTTATTGCAACTCCAATATTTATGATAGATTTTAATAAAGACTTACGAATGAATGAATGTCCCATGTGGTCTAGTGGTTAGGATCTGGCGTTTTCACCGCCATGGCCCGGGTTCGATTCCCGGCATGGGAATGCTTTTTAGGATATTCGATGACTTTTGTTTCGACGACTGCATCGTGGATATTCAACTGCAAAATCTTTTTAACGATGGCCTTGTGGCGCAACTGGTAACGCGTCTGACTCCAGATCAGAAGGTTAAGTGTTCAAGTCACTTCAAGGTCATGACGAACCTTAGGAATTTTCTTGAAAATGTTCGATATCAGAATAGAGAAGCCTTTTACATTTAGTGGACGTTGCAATGTTGGTCGATCGAATTCCCATGTGGTCTAGTGGTTAGGATCTGGCGGTCTCACCGCGATGGCCCGGGTTCAATTCCCGGTATTGGAAAATGCAAATTCTCTACAGAAAATGCCTTTTATTCCGTGGTTACATTGTAAGAATTGTGCCTTCGTGTTGTTGACGTTTTGTTACGTGCATCATTTCAATTTGCAGTGTCGCGAACAACGTAGCTAAAGAAGATGACAATGAGTAATTACTGACGACGTGTGTACCAGTTCTCAAAATAACTTGGTGGTGTTTAAATCCACAGCGAAATAGTGAAAATTGCGAAGAAATGATTGCGCAGTATATGGCGTTGGTGGTTCAGTGGTAGAATTCTCGCCTGCCACGCGGGAGACCGGGGTTCGATTCCCCGCCAACGCAGAGTATTTTACCTCTCGCATGATGGTTTCATGAATTTAGTGAAAAATTGCTATCATCGTCCACATGGACAGAAATTGGAATCCCTCCAACACATGTCTAAAGAAGAACGCGATGATCAATTCATGTTGCCAAAAGTTTACACAGAACGTTTTAAACAATCATTTTTAAATAAGTGTGTTTTTAATGACTTTTAAAATTTTTTTATACGGTATATGTTATAACAATAACGTTAACATATTTCTAAATAATCTAATTATTTTATCTTATATGCACTGATCGTTTTAAACAACTTTTAATGACTTTTAAAACTTGGTTTTACGGTATATATTAACTGTAACGTTAACACATTTGTAAATAATGTAATTATATCTTATATGTACTGTAAAGTTGCACGTTTGTTGCAACTCCAATATTTATGATAGATTTTAATAAAGACTTACGAATGAATGAATGTCCCATGTGGTCTAGTGGTTAGGATCTGGCGTTTTCACCGCCATGGCCCGGGTTCGATTCCTGGCATGGGAATGCTTTTTAGGATATTCGATGACTTTTGTTTCGACCTCTGCATAATAATAACATTTAATATCCATCTTTGGTTAAAAAAGTACAATGGATTTACAAGAAGTGCTAAGGTTAAAATTGATAAGTAGAAATTTTACTATTATTTACATCAATGTTGCTAAAAATGTTTATACTAGTTATATATTCTATAAAATTAATTTAGGACTGTTTTAAAAGGGATATAGCTCTAGGTATAAAGGATTGCCGGGGTCTTTTAGTATACGATACAACATATGGTAGATTACTTGTTGTTCTTAGATCGTGTTCATGGGTAAAAGGTTGGGGGATAAGTTTATTACATGGGTTGGTCGGATCACTTAGAATTCTTTGGTATTCCTTAACAGTTAGGTGTGCCCTTCTTTGTTCTAGCATTTCAAAGTTGCACCGAGATGTGCCGAGGATTTTGATGCACCTGTTTTGAATGCTCTCTATTTCATCAATGAGATATTGTGGTAAACCACCCCATATCGGAGCTGCATATTCTAAAACAGGTCTAATCTTGGATTCATAACATGTAATACCGACCTCAGGAGGAAGATTCGCCCTACGGCATTCTCTCAGACTAAACATTCGTTTATTTGCTTTCTTTACAATGTTCTTAACATGACAGTTCCATTTCAAATTATTTTGATGCCAGACACCCAACAGTTTATGAGAATTTACTCTTTCCACTACCTCGTTTCCAATGACCAATGGTTCTGGTGCCGGTATTGCTGTGTTAAAACATATCCACATATCTTTTGTTTTCTTCGAATTTATCGTCATTTTGTTTCTATTAGACCATTCTTGTACTGCTTCAAGGGCCTCCTGCATATGGCTGGATGAACTTTGTGACACCACTTCGTCCTGTGTACAATCATCCGCGTATTTGCATATGTTTATGGATAATCCATCTGGGATTGAGTTCTCAATATCGTTAATGTGAATATTAAAAAGAGCGTGGGACATCACAGAACCTTGTGGGACTCCTGCAGGACAAGGTTTGACCGATGATAGGGTCCCTGCTAGTTTGACCTGTTGTCTTCTATCTTCCAGAAAACTACGCGTCCATAGCCAAAAGGCTTTGGTTACATACATTTCTGCGAGCTTACGAAGTAGAATTCCGTGGTCAACAAGGTCAAACGCTTTGCGAAAATCTATGAATAGTGCATGAACTCCATTTTTGGCGCTATGAGTATTGTCGGTCACATTAAACCAGTTCTGCGAGATGTTGGTGAGTGCGGACACGGTTGATCGTTTGCTTGTAAAGGCATGCTGATTATCATTTATACGTGAACTGGGAAGGTTCAGTTTGAGCTGCAGCTTTTCCAGCACTTTAGCCATTTGGGGAAGAATGGATGTCTGGCGAAAGTCATTCTCGATATCTCTTGGTGGATTGACCTTCGGAACTGGGATAACTAAGGCGTGTT